ACACACACACACAAACCCTAAGCAAAAGGTGAGAGACTTACTGATTCAATGCATTGAACAAAATCTCTGCCCTGTCATTAGCTGATAACTAACCTAACCAAGCAGAAACTTGAATGGCCAGCCCCACATAACAAAGAATACAGACTTTACAGATTTAGTCCAGGAGAGTCACTCAATAAACAGGAACAACAGGGGCCCTTGGGTGGCTCAGTCAGATGAGCAGCCAACTCCTGATTTTGTCTCAGGTCATGAATTCTTGGTTCATGAATTCAAGTCCGGCATTAGGCTTTGCACTGTCTGTGCAGAGCCTGCTTGGGATTCTCTCTCCCTTTCTGCCTGCCCGCCTCAAAATAAATAAATAAACATTAAAAAAATAACACCAAAAACAGCAACAACAAAAACAGGGGAGAGGTGGGGAACTGATTTCCAGAGTTGCCACATTATAGTATTTGAAATGTTCAGCCTCTCAACAAAAAATTAGAAGACATGCAAAGAAAGAGGAAAGCATGGCCCATACAGATGGTGTTATTTCTTCTGGGAAATCTTCCCTGGCCCCCAAGTCCAAGCTAGGAACCCTGTTCTGGGCTCCCATGGTGCCTTAAATTACCCCAGTCAGAGGTCCATCCTTCTAAGCTAGGCTATAATTGCCTGATTGCTCATCATGGCCTCTCTCCCACTGGGCTCTATCAGGGAGGGACTGCATCTGGTTCTTCAGCACCATACCTCCTGCAACAAGCCCAACTAGCATGGCAGAGTATCTGCTAAAGCAATGAATGCACAATTCATGATCGATTCTAGTGCCACTAAAAAACTCAACAGAGAAAGACCAGACATTTCCTTCCACCTTTTTCCAAGGGGGCATTTAAGAATTATCCTGATGCTTGTAAAGGGCACTTTGGTGCTATAGATCCCAAAGAAATGAGTGGCTTGAGCTTGAAGACTGGGAAACCTTTGACCAGTTTAGCAAAATTTCCTGTTATCTTACAGAAAAACACTCTGCCTCCTGTAATGGAGAAGTGTTGTACCTGCGGGAGGTGGAGGGGCCCCGGTGGTGGTCAGTGCCGGACTCCTTCACAAGGTTTCCTTTGCAGCAAATAACCCTTAATTTATCCTGGTATGAGGACGCCAGGTAAATCGCTCCTGAGGAAATTGCAGGGCCCAAGTAGCGTGGGTTCGGGATTTCCAAATACGCTCGGGCAGGGGTCCTATGGAGTTCCAGATAAGAGTTTACATTCAGGTTATCTCCGTTGCTAGATGGAATGGAAAGAAACACACACTTGGCCCCAAGCCCCAACCGCCGAGGTTTTCAAAGTCTGAAAGGGCAATGCTTACCCCAGAGAAGAGCGTGCCTGGATCTCAATTACTTCTAGTGAGTTGAAGTGGGTCACAAACAGATAGGGTTCTCTGTAGGCTGCATGGCCACCACAGAAGAGCATGGGCAAGGAAGGGTTAAAAGAGAAACTCAAAACCAGGCTGCAAGGCCACCTTGGACCTAGCAGTCCCACCTAAAGGGATTTATCCTACACATACATCCATGTGCCAACATAATGAGGCATGTTCAAGTATACTCACTGCCATGTTGTCAGAGCAGACGATGGGAACCAACTCAAGGGGACATTATAGGGGGTCAGTTAAATAAATTATGGTACATCTATGGAATTCTGCATAGTTGTAAAACCTGCAGGAAGCTCTCTATGTACTGATACATAAAAAAAACCTGAAGTGTACAATTTTACTTAGTGTGAAAAGCAAGATTCAGAATGTGTAAAGTGTGTCACCATACTGATTTAAAGAAAAAGCATTTTTAAAGTGTGTTGGGGGGTAGATAAGAATATATTTTCTTATGCGTCTGTATTTGCACAAAGCACTGGAAGGATAAGAAACTCAAAGAAGTATTTTTCCCCCTTTGCGGGAGAGGGAATGGAGAATTAGGGAGACAGGTTATTTGGGTGAGGCTTTTCATTGTATACCTTTTTAAAGTGTTTCATTGTATATGTTTTCAAAAAACATTAAAGATCGGGTTCATAGATAATTAAATATTTCTGGCCTTAATACTATATATCATAGTGTCACTGAAACTCTAGGATATGATGAGATCTTTTTCTGTCTTAAAAGTAAAGGAGATTATCACTACCATTCCTTTCAGTAAACTAGGACTTTGGTATTAGACTGTTAGTCATGCCTCCTGGTACTCAGGCCCTGGTGGATAGAGCCTCCTTCCCTTGAATCTAGGCTGACCCTGTGGCTGCTTTAACCAGTAGGATGTGGTGGTAGCAAGAAGGCCTGCCAGCTTGCACTTCTGCACTCTTGGAAGAAGCCCACGTGGAGAGGAACTGAGACCTCCAGCCACCAGCCCAAGCTGAGTTCCCAACAATTATACCAATTGCCTGCCATTTTGTGAGGCCATTTCGGACTTCCTGCTTATCCCAGTGCTCCCACTGGAACCGCACGAAGCAGAACTATCCAGTCCAGCCTCAGCATCTTAGGCAATGACAAGTTGTTGTTGTCTTGTCCGTAACAAGTTTTGGAACTTGTTATGTAGCAATAGATAAACCAAATAGCCTCGACAGGTATTTCAACCGTAACGGCATTTCAGAACATTCACACAGACATGTATGTACATATTTGCACATAGGTGTCTGCTTATGCTTTGACCCAGCAGCTCCACTTTGAGGGCTTATGAGCAGCAGGTACTATTTGACAAGTGTGCAAAGATCAGTGCAAGATATTCATCGTAGCAATGTTTGTACTTACAGAAAGAATGAGCATGATCTACCTGCTCTGCCTAATCAGAACTGATTAAACTGACAGGTGTTCAGCTATGCCATGGGATACTCTGCAGCCTTTGAAATGATTTAAATTCACAGGCAATGCTCTCCTTTCTGTCATGAGAGCCTAACAGATATTTCACAAGGCCAGTGGCCTTGGCTTACGTGGTTCTTCATCAGAATCTTTGCCCTCAACACTTCTTCAGGTGACTCTCACCTGTGGTGCTTGGTGTCTAATGTAATCCATAAGCATAGTGCTTAACCCAAAAAGGAGTCCACCTGCAATTTTTTCCTAGGACACCAGCTGCTGGCAGAACAGAGCCCTCCATACCTTGCATCACTTACCAAAGGCCAAAGGTAAGCGACTCCACTTGAGATCGTCTGTGCGGCTACGTCTTCCATAAGAATCCACGAACACCCCAAATTCTGCAAGGAGTTGGAGCCCGGGGCATCAGCACAGCCAGAGGCATCAGTATCAATGACACATACTTTGATAGAAGAATAAGGGATTGAACCCAGGGGACCACCAGCCAGATTTAACTGGATCATTAAAACCTGAAGACCTTTGCTGAGTCACATCTCTCAGAGATGTGTTAAAGGAAAGCGGAAGAGACAGAAAATAAGAGGCAAAAGGAGGAGGAAAAGGAGAAAGAGAGACCCAGACACAAGGAGGAACAGACAGAAAGACCCAGAGATAGGAAGAAGGGGGGAAATGAAAAAGAATGAAGAGAAACATCACAAGAAAATGCAAGAAAGAAGGAAGGGAAAAAAGAGAAAGGAAAGGGAGAGAAAGAAGGGGCAGAGAAGGAAAGAAGTGGCTGCTCTCAGGAGAGAATATGAGACAGCTGGACCAGGCAAGGGTGCTGGTAGGGTCTGGGGCTCCTGGTGTCTGCGAGCCATCAGACCAGTGGCGGGCGGGAAGCCCTGACTCACCGTGGAAGCAGAGCAGGTACTCCTCCCGCTGCCCTGCGCCGTTCACCTGCACGATCGAGACAGGGAAACTATTGGAAGAGGAGGCAAACACAGCAGGCGCCAAGGAATGGTCATTCTTATCCAGGAATTCTGTAAAGTCAGGTGAGAAGCGGGGCTTCAGGAATGAGCTAGTGTTGGTGGCAAGGCTGGAGCAGAGTGTGGGCTGGGGGGAGGACTTGGGCCCTACCCTCAAGCGTGTACTGCTTCATGTCAATTTCGTAGAATTTATTGGTTCCAATAAGGATACTGTAATTGGTGAAGTGGATGCAGCTGCAGGGCTCTGAGGTCTCTATCTCCTGAGACAGAGGGTAGAAGAAAATGATGTGAGTTAACACAGGGCAGCCCCATTTCCACTGCTATTCCATTTCTGCCTCAACTAACCACGCCTTGGAGACGGTCACCTCTGGACTTATTCACGTTCTCAGCCACACAAAGCACACTCCATCTTTTCATGTCCCCCATGAGGGCTGATCATCCCTTTGCTACCTCTGAGTTCTTTGCAACCCCAGACCAAGAAAATAAGGTCAAATGGCAGCCAAAAAGAGTCAGAAATACCATTTCAATGAAAAGGTTGCAAAAACAGACCTTTAAAAATGCAAATTCTTATCTGAGGAAAAGAACTGGAGAAAACAGGGTTAGAGGGAGTGGTTTTAAGCTTCCTTCTTTTGGTAAGCTAAGTTTCTAACGTGAACCTGTATCACCTATATGTTTATTCTCATCATCATTGTTGTCATCTCCATTAGTGATGGGCTAATTACTTCCACTTGTTTTCAGGCCAGTCCTAATAGTAAAAAAAAACCTAGGCATGCTTATTCAAACGGTAGCCAAGAATTACAGGGAAGCAATGATTTCTGAGAAATCTCCTAAAGCTAACAGTTCAAGCTCACAATCCACACTATCATCACTGAATATTTCTGATCACCTGCTAAGTATGAGGAAACTTTTAGGCAGCATGACACAGTGAAATGGCAGGGAAAAATCAAACTTCAGTTTTGGTCTCAACTTTGTAACAGGATCTCAAGCCAGCCTCAATTGTCTAACCTGAAAATTGAGAATTACCACCCCTGCATTTCAGAACTGTTGTGGAAAGTATATAATAACCAGCTCAGTTTCTGGATGGTGGACGAACAGCCCACCCAGGATGAAACTATTTCCCTAACACAGAATGACCTCTATGTATGTTCACCCATCAGTCATTTCACTTCTGAGACTAATCATGAAGACACCTGAAATAAAGCAGGCTTACTACAGGTGGCGCTTTCCTAGCCTAGGGACAACGGCCAGTCTCAGGAAGTGAGGCAAATGATCCAGTGTGCACCTTGTCCACACGGCAGTCACCATCACCACCACTCTGCTCCAAGGACAATCAGCTCCCTAATTACACATCAGAACACAGCTAGCACTGGCTTCTCCAAAGGTTAATAATAGAAACTTCTAGGATCTGACATAAATTCTGATAAGTGCCACCAGAGACTGCTAGCTTCTCAGAGAGATGTCCTTCCTTTTTTATGCGAATTGAAACGAAGTGTCTCTTCCATCAGCCAGCTTCCTTTCTCCCGTAACAAAGGGCTGAATTCACTGGGCAGGCTAGAGAGGCCGTTCACAAACAGAAGGAAAATGAGAGGGAAAAGGGCAGCCACTCAAGGCTTTGAAGCTTCCTCCAGGTGTGTCTGTCTCTTTCTCCCTCTCCCCCTACCTAGAGATCACCAAGGCTGAAGTGACCTGGCACACACTGTTCCCTGAGACGGCACGCCTTCCACATCAATTGGTGGGGACAGCAGGACAGGTGAGGCCCAGGACTTACTTTCCGAATGCAGTACTTGCTGAGGTTTTCATTGTAGCGGAGAATGATGACTTTGCTGGGCATGGCTGCACAGATGCAGAGCCCGTTCTCAATCTGAAAAGCAATCAGGGAACAGAAAAAGAGTGTCAGTCGTGTGTATACTGGCTCCAGAGCAAAACTAGGAATATAACATCAATTTTTTTTAATGTTTACTCATTTTTTGAGAGAGAAAGAGACAGAGTGTGAGCAGGGGAGGGGCAAAGACAGAGGGAGACAGAATCTGAAGCAG